CTAAATCTTCTAACATAGCTTACAAAGTCGGTATACTCTTGGACTCTGTATTCCCCTACGGCCTTCCCTCCTCACCCTTTACCTCTTGAGGGCCACTCTTGAAATGGTCTGTTCACCTTTTCATCTCCCCTCATGCTGATTGTTGCCTTCTCCCTGGTTAGTTTGCTCCTCCTTATATGTGGATGATGCGCTCAACCTTCCAGTTTAGTTTCTATCGGGCTGTGTTTGGAATCCTTTTCTACCAGCTCTGCATTATAGCATCTCCTATTCCCCCTCTCCACTCCTGCACATCGTATCAGTGATCTCTGTGTATGATGATCTCTTTAAGAGGTTCTCGTTTTCACTCTTCCCTGCCCCGGGAGTGCAACAACTTGTCAGATGTCCAGTATGTCCTATGTAGTTAATAAATATTTGGGGGAAAAAAAAGAGAGAGAGAAAACAAATGAATGCATCAAAACAGGGTCCATCAATATTAACAGGCTCCAACCTACTGGCTGAGACAAATAATGTGTCCCATATGTCCTCCTGAATACAGTGTTGGTGGAATTATATTTAATTGAACAGCAAGAAGTTAGCAAAATGATAGGGCTTTCAGGATTCTTAGAGATCATCCTCACTATACAGGTGAAATAACAAAGGCCCAGAGAGTGTAAGTCATTTCATTGTCATCCCATAGGATGACTTCTGCTACTCCTGCCCCAGTATCCTTTTTTTCCTACCAGGCTTTAAAACTGTTGCCACTTTGAGATGTATGAAATAGTGGCCCACTTTTTGAATTTGTTTATTTTAATGTTTATTTCCCTGGTTACTGCTGAGTTGAACATATTTCTAATATTAATTGGCCAAGTGGGGTCTCTCTTTATTCGGTTGTTTATTTGTATCATTTGTCCATTTTATATTAGATCATTTTTTTCTTGCACATTTTTAGAAATTCTTTCTATATTCTGCATACTGATTCTTAGCCATTTATATAACTTGTAAATATCCAGTAAATTTGTAGATACATATAATCTGTGACCAGGAATTCTATGCTTTGGCATCTACTCTTGGGAGAAACTCTTACACATGGCCAAAGAAACATTTAAGAAGATTGTTCTTGTGGTGCTATTTGTAAAGGCACAAAATTGGAAATGGCCTAAATGTATATGCAGTAAATGAATGAATCATTAATTTATGGCATACTCATATATTGGAAATAGAAGTTAAGTGGATGAACTGGTTCTACACATCACTAGCATTGATAATATCAGAAAATGTGTTGCTCCCCAAAAACAAATAACAAGTCAATGCACATGGTATTCCATACATATATAATGTCACAAAACAATTCTAAATAATGTTTATAAGTACATAAATATAAGGAAAAAGTAAAGCACAGAATGCACATGTTTCAAGCCTGGGAAAATGGAATATGAGGAACTTAGAGAAGGTGCAGAGTTCTAATGATGGGAGAAGGTTCTAGTAAAGAGCATGGTGGAAAAAAGCAGGTCATTAAATATGTTGCTAGCTGACACAGAGCTGGGAAGAGTTGTAGACCTATGAGCATTGTAGTTCCTGGAAGGAGAAACCTATCAGTGAGAAAAATAATGTTTTGATTACACTTTTACAACTCATTTATATTAAATAGATTATAGGAGCTCAAAGCTCATCTTGAAGTCCAACTCCTTCATTTTAGTTGCAGAAACAAATGAGGCTAAGAAAAGTCAAAGTGTAAAGTAGAGGGAAGGTATTTTGTACAAGAATATTGGGATACAACTACTTCAATCATTTGATATATTTTTACTGGTTGACTTTTTAAAATGATTTTTAAAAGATTTATTCATTTATCCTGGGAGGACGGTGGTGGGAGAGGCAGAGGGAGAGGCTGAGGAAGAGAAGCAGACACCCCACTGAGCATGAGAGCCTGACACGGAGCTCAATCTCACGAGCCATGAGATCACGAGCTGAGCAGAAACCAAGAGTTGGACACTCAACTGACCAAGCCACCCAGGCACCACTTTACTGGCTGACTTTTTAATTGATGTAATGACTAATTGTACCATAGTGATAGTAGGTTTTTGAAATACTGATGCAGAGAATAGATAAATTTCGATTAAGAGGTATGGATATCGTTTTGACAAGTGGGACATAACAATGTAGACTTTCACCAAACAGGTAACACCAAGTGGGCAGTTGCCTGTGATATGGGGTGTTTATAAGGGGGAGACATAAGACACTGTAGGGACACATTGGAGTTAAAACTACCTCACAGTTGTGCCTGTGGGTTCTGTTTGCTGGCTGCCCAATATCATGCTGGAACCATTTGGGTTATTATGGCTCTTATGGCTCCAATAAAGACTATCACATTAGGTAGCCCAAGGCCAAGAGATAACTGTAAGTTCCTTCTGTGAAAATCTACAGAAGGTGACGAAGGGGTCACCACCACTGATGGGGTTATTTTTTATTTTTCTATGGTAGATTGTCTTCTGGTAGGAGAGGTTGTGAGACCAGAGAAGCACCAGTGATTGTCTTCTGGTAAAATAGGTTGTGAGACCAGAGAAGCACCAGTGATGTCCATCTTGGCCATGGTGACATATACCTGAGGCTCACTATCTGGTCCAGCCCAGATAAAGGTAAAGGAGGCAGCATAAACCACTCTGTCTAAGTTAGCTCATTCATCAGCTTTCTCATCATAATTGACCTCACATTGCCTCAGTTAGAGATAGCTGGTCTATGGACACCAGAGAGGCAGATATATCTCCTTTGACATAAACGTATGGGGTTGAGTCAGAGAAGAGGTTCTTTTGAAGGTGTCTTCAAGAGGTTTTTCCACAATATATCAATACTATGGTGAATCAGATTAGCTCATCGCATTTCAAAAGGAATAGGGAGCTTTGTCCCAAAGTGGAAATGCAAGACTGGCAGGTTTCAGCATGTTGATGGTAGGCTAGGCCAAATAAAAAACATCACAGCCTCAAACTTCTCCTGGCCAACTCTTACTCAGACATCTTCTGACATCTTCAGGTTAAGTCACTCTATTTTTTACACATTCTCAAAACTCGGCATTTTCCTTTATAACACTTCTCAGTTTTATAATTAAATACTCATTCGAGTCATATGTGTTTAAAGTTTGTCCATCTAGATAGACTCATAAACTCCATGAGTAGAGGGACCACATCTCTCTTATTGTTTGCAATATTATGGAGCCCTAACCTGGTATCTAGTTTAATAATAGGCACTCAACATGGAATGTATAAGTGATGAAGTGAATGAGTGTAAGAAAAAAAAATGGAGTCAATGAAGAATGAGTGAGTCAATGGATGGTATTGGAGGAGCAGCAGGAACACGAATGAGGAGAGTAGGACTATATGGGCCACCATGGGTTAGGCCCTGTCCTTTAAACAATGGGGTGAGGCAAGGAGCCACAAATGTTTTAGGGGCAGGATGGAAAAAAATCCCTGGTTAGTTGGGGGTACTAAGAACCTGTTTCTGAGAATAAAGGAAATTAGTTATCCCTGAAGGTATTCCAAAGTCAATTTTACCTATTTTAAGACTTTTCCTGAGTTAGCCACACCGCAATGATCTTGATAGATTACTGCAATACTACCCTGCAACCTCAAAAGACAATGCTATCTAAAGGAGGACCATGAGAGTGTTTCTTCAACTGTAGTTTTAGTCCTAATGGAGTTTGTAAGATTGGATTCTGATAATCCTCAAAACCTTAACACAATTGTTCCTTGTAGCTACCTTTGTGTTTTATGACTTAACTGACCGACCCATTAGTGAGATGACTCAGGACATAAAGGCATTGCACAAATATGAAATATTATTACTATATCATAACCATTTGATTCCAGATGACTTACCATAAAGAACAGTGTATTCACTTCCACTTTCCCATGACATTTGAATCTGGGTTTATGAGATTCCCAGAATAAGAAGTACCCAGAATTGAGAACATAGAATTCAGTTGACTGTGTGATCTAGCTGCCTCCCTGTTTATGTGTTATCTACACTGGTCAAAAATACTGTAGTCTTATATGATATGAAATATTTTATCTTTGGTTCTGGATTGAGGAATATAGGCATAGGTTTCATAGCGATCACCACTGATCTTTACTTTAAAAACCGATACTTCAGTTCATTTTTCTGGTTCAAAATAAACTAAAAACTCCATGTTAATATTGCTTCTTTTGAACATGACATGTATACCTGCAGGTTAAAGGGGTAGTTACAGTCAAGCTTGGCTTTGATGTGTCGTTTTGTAATAAGGGGAGATCATCGGTATTTTCAAAAATATAACCTCCTTGACTTCCTTTTGTTTAAACTGAATTTGTTTATAGCAACATAAAAGCTTTCCCTTCCTTTTTGGACTAGGCAGTGATTTAAATGTCTTTAAATTAATAGATTTTATTTTTAAAAGCAATTTTAGGTTTCCAGAAAAATTGAGCAGAAAGTACATTAACTAATCTCTCCTCTACCTCCACAGTTTTCCCTTTTATTAACATTTTGTGTTAGTGTGGCACATTTTTACGAGCGATGAACCAATACTGGGATATCATTATTAATTAAAGGTCGTAGTTTACCTTGGGGTTCAGTCTTTGCATTATCCAGATCTGTGGGTTTTGACAAATACGTAATGCCATGTGTACACCATCACAGTATCATACAGAATAGTCTGCCTACCCTAAAAAATCTCCTGTGCTTTAACTGTTCACCCTTCCTGCCCTGCCTCAAACCTCTCAATGGTTTAAATTTATGAAAAGTAGAATCATATTCAACATAGAACAATGCCAGAAACATGCCAAATACCAAAAGGACACGTATAACATTTTACTCTCATTCTATCATTACTTTCATCTTAGTCAAGTTCTGCTTTTGAACAATACATAGATAAATACAAATTTAATTAAATTTAACTGAATTCTCAGAAAGCTTATCAAGGAGTTCTTTAATCTATTTCTGTCTCTAAATTCTCTGGATAAGACCAGAAATTTTCTTTTTTCTTTATTTCTTTCTTCTTTCCCCTCCCTTTTTTATTGAAGGTGAGAGGTACTGAATTGTCAACTGTGTTTCACGGTGAGTACAATTAGCTCTTGTCCCCAAGCCATCCGAATAATCACATACCCCCATCAGTAACACCATGTTCAGCAGCAGCATCACTGAGAATCTTTAGTTAGGACCTAAATGTGCATGGCTTTAGGCTTATCAGAAGGAACTGCTTGACAACCATTCTCTGGATCCCTGAGACTTCCCCAGAACCTTTCCTGCCTCCTGGAGGAGGTGCTGAGATCAGGGAAACCTTTCACTTAGCACTGCCAAGCAATCAGGCTTAGAGTCCTGAAATGGATACCCTTTCTCATGACATTGCTTCCATGTATTGCAGAATGAAAGCACATATAAAAGATGGTAGAGGCAGAATCTCTCCATTCTTGATCAAAGGAACCAGAATTTCCCAGCTCTGTAGCAACTGAACTCCCTAAAGAATAGCTTGCTTAATTCATATGAATATTATATTACCTTCTTTGGCATTCATAGACGCCAACATGTCCTCCAGAGCATGGTACTTAATTGTTTTTCTTATTAGTTCAAAAATAAAACATGTTGAATACATTGCCATAGCTGCTCCTCTAATTAATAAAAAGACTGTGTTGAGTTTAAAAACAACTAAGTCTTTTCATGTCCAAGTTACTTTTAGGAGCTATTATAAATTATTACCTTCCTCCACATCAGAGGTGTCTTATGACTAAAGGACAAGACAGCCCCCACAATGCTCTTTAACAATGACTCTTATGTTTCTTTGGTAAACTCATAATGTTAATTACACTCTGCAACAGATGGAGTGCCTTCCATGAAGGACCTCAGTGCACCTTGCAAATGTCATGAGTCATCAGAGCCCTTCTATAATGGAGGGAAGTATCTGTGGTCACAATTTTATGGTTAAAGCAGCACAGGGAAGGTAAGTGTTTTTGTTTTTTAAAGAAGTGGAATGTTTTAGTCAAAAGACTTAGTCATCATTTAAAAAGGCAGAGACGCTCAATGCCTATTTACTGAATGAAACTCAATGAATATAAATGAATGAAATGGTTCATCAACGAGATTTGGCTATCCTAGCAATGAACGCCTGGACCATACTCATTATTTTGAAGAGTGATAAATAGATCAGAAGTGATTTCCTGGTAATTAACTGGTCTTTACAATGATTGGTATAGAAAATGGTGATTTAACCACCATTAGGATAGAGCAAATCTAGAAAATAGAAATGGTCAAAACATTTTTGTAAAAATGTTACAGAGACATTGAAATTTAGAGCTAGAAGCTTCCAGAATTTATTTAGTCAATCACTTTCGTATTGCAGACAAGAACAGTGAGATCCAGAAAGCTTAGTAAGGGACTTGCATGAAATTATTCAGCTTTAATTTAATTTCTTTATACTCCTTCCTGTTTCAGAAAGGGTTTAATTTGGCTCACTCAGCTAGTCAGTGGTATTGATAACTACAATCTAGGCTGCTAACCTTAACTGATCCACGCTCCCACTAATTCCATTAAAGAAAAAAAAAACTTTCACTATTGTCTTTCTGTATTCTAACAATCATAAAATCATAGCATTTGAAAATGGTAAGGAGATCACTTTTGTTGATCTTCCTCTTTTAATTGGTGAGGGAATCTGATATTCAGGGAGTTTAAGGGAATTACTTAAAGTTGCGTGGTGAGTTACGGACCACAAACTAGAATCTGTTTCCTCTTCTTTCGCTACTTTGGAATCGGAATTTAATCAATAGTCAAGATCCCAGTAACCCAAATCACCAATATAATTTCATCTTGATTTTTCTGAAATCTTCTTTTACTAGAGACAAATGAAAAATAAGTGAGTTAATGTCAAGGATTTTTTTTAAGTCCAGGGCTTATCATTAGGTCAATAATAATTAAAATTCTACCCATTTATTTGATAACTTCCAAATCTGTGAATTCAGAAAATTATAACTATTATTGATCATAAAGTCACAGGTACTAAAGATCCCAAATGCTTGCTAAATTTTCAAAGATTGAACTATTTTCTTCAAGGAGGTTTTTATATTTTTGTTTATAATGAAAATTGGCAGTCACTGGTAAAATGATGACACTTGTGGTTTGAACAAGAACATCTAAGTAAAGCAACACATTGATTCTTACCCATCTTCAGTAATTAATTAAGAATTTCTAGCATTCCTAGGTGTTTTAAGTATCCATCATCCCATTCCACAACCCTAATTCTTTAATTAAATGGAGATTGCCAAATAAAACAGAAGACTGCTCTAGTGAGTATTCAAGATGGCCTTCTCTTTTATTTTACATAGCCTTACTTCTGTAGAAGTTGTCACACAGTTCCTCACTTTGGATTATTTCGCCTATTTTTTTGAAAAAGAAAATAATTGTAAAATGAAAGCACCCATAGCAAAGAAATCTTGCAATATGGCGTTTTCTAATTGTATGGTGGTTTTAAGGGAAGCTGTTAAAGAACTTGCCCAAGTCTTCAGAGATCCCTGAGTTGGGGAAGGAGACTGCTTCTCTTATTGAGATGGGAAAGGTGGGGGTTGGGGGTGGGCGTAGGGTGCTGAGGGGAGTGATCAAAGCCTTCCCTTGTGTCACAGTTATCAAGTCCTCTAATGCTCTTGCTGTGTCCTCAGCTTTCATTGCGGACAGAGCAGACCAAGGAGGCTGGATCACACTCCATCTCTGGACTTACTTGCTATCATTGATATTTATTCTGCTGCCTTTACATTTTGTTTCCTTAACACACATGAGCTCACCATAGGAAAATGATTCCCTGCTGTTATTTGTATAGGAAATTAACCAGAGAGCTCCCCATTACTCTGTTTATTTCTCTGTGTATACTAGGGTCTTTGAAAGGTTGTAAGTGGAATTTGCACTGTGAATTGAATATGAATAAGATAAGGACCAGAAACAAGTTTCTCTGTTCCTTTGGAGATCCAGACTGCCCTGTGACCAGGGACATCAGCTCATACTGGCAGGTCTAATGTGCTCCCCCCACCACACCCCGCTATGCCCAGTTCTCCACTGACACCTCAAGGAACTTCAAGAGATCTCTTCAAGACAGTTTGGGTTTCCCAAGTGAATCACTCAAGAAATCAGCATCTTCTGCTTTAGTCAAATGCTCTGTTTTGTTAGGAAAGCTGGGAAATTTTAACATGCTGCTCTTTTTACCTACTTTTTAAAGGGTTAGCAATGATATTTAGCATAAGAAGCAAAGGATTTCAAACTCTTTAAAGAAATACATCAATCATCTCTCTTTTATTCCTGTATTTTACAAGTACAAATGCTTGTTTTTATAGATTTTCCCTCTTTAACGTTCTTACCTCTCTTTCCTTGTCTAGGCTCTTAACTTCAACGTGAAAGAGGCAAGGGGTCTATAGAAAAATATTCTGGGTTTGTATGTAAAATGATCAGAAAGAGAACACTGAGATGGGAAAGTTGAGACTGTGCACATTTTACTTTATTCTTCCCTAGAGCTGATTGATAGGGAAACCCAGAGGCAAAGTTTGAATCGGTGGCTATCACACTTTGCTGTTAACATTTCCCACTATCTGAAAATACCACAGTGTTTAACAGGGGCTAAAATGGAGTCCCCATGACACCTTTTCAAATTCAATACATGGCTTGAATTATTAGCTTCGTTTGTTAGACAAAGAAAGAAGGATGTTAATGTGTATTACCTGAACCCTCCAAACACTGTTAATATAACTAGTAACTGAAAATCTGATTTCAGGTTCGAATTCAGGCCAGTTCAACACACAGGTAAGGAGTTTTTAGCTATGTGCCAAGCACCAGGCTGGTTAAAAATTATACTATAGGTGGGAAAAGAGAATCAGAGTGAAATCAAGATTAGTTTTCAAGCCACTGATTTTGCTTTTTAAAATTGTGACTGTTTAGAATCATATACTTTTCAATATACTGTGTTCTGTAGTTGGAAAAAAAAATGGAGAAATGTAACACCCGGTAAATACTCAGATATAGAAATAGAATCAATAATCGGTAACTAAACTATTTCAAACTGGAATAAAACTCAAATTTACTTTTTTGGGGGAAGATAGCTAAAATTATTTATTTATTTATTTATATTTGAATTCCAGTATAATTAACAAATAGCATTGTAATAAATCCAGGTGTATATCACAATAGAGTGATTTAGTAAATCTATAAACCACTCAGTGTTCATCAAGATAAGTGTACTTTTCTTTTTAATAAGTATATTCTTTATACTTTATAAATATATGCTTATATATTTATATTTTGTAAGTATATTCTTTAATCCCCATCATCCCCTCACTCACCTCTCCTCTGGTAGCCATCAGTTTGTTCTCTACAGTTAAGAGTCTGTTTCTTGTTTTTTTTTTTTTTTCCTTCTTCTTTCCTTTGCTCATTTGTTTTATTAAATTCCATATATGAGTGAAATCACATGGTACTTGTCTTTCTTTAACATATTATGCTTAACATTACTCTGTCTAAATCCACGCATGCTGTTCTGAATGGCAAGATTTCATTCTGAACAATAGCTATCTATCTATCTATCTATCTACCTATCTATCTATCTGTCTGTCTATCTGTCTGTCTATACACACAACTACTACTTTATCCATTCATCTATCAGTGGACACTTGGGCTGCTTCCATAGTACTATGGGAAATAATGCTTCAATAAACATAGGGATGACTGTATCCCTCTGAATTAGTGTTTTTGTATTTTTTTGGGTAAACACTCAGTAGTGCAATGACTGGGTCATAGTGTAGTTCTAGTTTCAATATTTTGAGGAAACTTCCCATTGTTTTCCACAGTGGCTGCACCAGTTTGCATTCCCACCAACAGTGCAAGGGGGCTCCTTTTTCTCCACATCCTCTCCGACATTTGTTTTGCTTGTGTTTTTGGTTTTAGCCATCAATTGCACATTGCACTTTTGATTTGCATTTCCCTGATGATGAATGACGTTGAGCATCTTTTCGCGAGTGTGCTGGCCGTCTGTATGTCTTCCTTGGGGAAATGTCTGTTCAGGTCTTCTGCCCATTTTTTAATTTGAGCTTTTGTTTTTTGGGGTTGCGTTCTATAAGTACTTTATATATGTTGGATACGAACCCTTCACCAGATATGTCACTTGCAAATATCTTCTTCCACTCAGTAGGGTGCCTTTTAGTTTTGTTGGTTGTTTCCTTCACGGGTCAGAAACTTTTTATTTTGATGTAGTCCCAATAGTTTATTTTTGCGTTTATTTCCTTTGCCTCAGGAGATATATCTAGAGAAATGTTACAGTGGCTTAGGTCAGATAGATTACTGTTTGTGCTCTCTTCTAGAATTTTTATGGTTTCAGGTCTGATATTTAGGCCTTTAATCCATTTTGAGTTTCTTTTTGTGGATGGCTTAAGAAAGTGGTCCAGTTTCATTCTTTTGCATGTGGCTGTCTACTTTTCCTGACACCACTTGTTGAAGAGACTGTCTTTTCCCCACTATATATTCATTCCTCCTTTGTCGAATATTAATTGATCATATAATTGTGGGTTTATTTCTGGGTTTTCTGTTCTATTTCAGACTAGAATAGTGTCTATTTTTGTGCTAGTACCATACTGTTTTGATTACTAGAGCTTTGTAATGTAACTTGAAATCAGGAATTGGGTTGCCTCCAGCTTTGTTTTTCTTTTTCAAGTTTGCTTTGGGTATGCAAGTTCTTTTGTGTTTCCACACAAATTTTAAGATTGTTTGTTCTAGTTCTGTGAAAAATGCTGTTGGTATTTTGATGGGATTGTATTCAATCTGTAGATTGCTTTGGGTAGTATGGACATTTTAATAACATTTATACTGCAATCAATGAGCACAAACCATTTGTTTGTGTAGTCTTCAATTTCTTCAGTGTTTTATAGTTTTCAGAGTACAAGTCTTTCACTGCTTTGGTTAAATTGTTCCTAGGTACTTTACTATTTTTGGTACAATAATAGTAAATTAATAGGATTGTTCTTTTAATTTCACTTTTTTTTTAAGATTTTATTTCTTTATTTATCATTTGTCAGAGAGAGAGAGAGAAAGCAGAAGCAGGCATTGTGGCAGGCAGAGGCAGAGAGAGAAGCAGGATCCCCGCTGAGCAACGAGCTCGATGTGGGACTCGATCCCAAAACCCTGGGATCATGACCTGAGCCGAAGGCAGCAGCCTAACCGACTGAGCCACCCAGGTGTCCCTTAATTTCACTTTAAAAAAAAAAAAAAGATTTTTTATTTAAAGCAATTTCTATACCCAACATGGGGCTTGAACTCACAACCCCAAGAGATCAAGAATCATATGCTTTACCAACAGAGCCATCCAGATGCCCCTCTTAATTTCATATTCTGATGCTTCATGGTTAGTGTATAGGAGGAATTCAACAGATTTCTGTCCCTTGATTTTGGACAACTTTCCTATTGATTTTGGACAACTGCAACTTTTCTGAATTAATGTATCAGTTTTAGTAGTTTTTTGGTGGAGTCTTTAGGGTTTTTTATATATAGTACCATGTCACCTGCAAATAGTGGGAGTTTTTCTTATTCGTTACCAATTTGGATGCCTTGTATTTCTTTATGATGTCTAACATCTGTGGCTGGGACTTGCAGTTGAATAAAAATAGCAAGAGTAGACATCCTTGTCTTGTTCCTAACTTTAAGGGAAAAGCTCTAAGTTTTTTCCCATTGAATATTATTTTTGCTGTAGGTTTTTCATATAAGGCCTTTAATATGTTGAGGTATGTTCCCTCTAGACCTACTTCCTCAAATGCTTCTTCTGCAGCTATTGAAATGATAAAACTCAATTTAATTCTCTAAAACAAAAATTTAAAAATTTATTTGCCAAAGCTCCTGAATATTACTATAATTTCTAAGAGCCCTTCTATCATATGCAAAGCATGGTCCCAGGTGCTGAGAGGACCCAGAAATATGAATCCAAGGGGCCGATTCTGAGCAGTTTTCACCATAAGGTGCTGACGTGGAATATGTACTAATATAGAGTCATGACTTCTGTCTTACCGATAATGAAATTCTTATCTCATTTGTACACATTATCCATTCCGTAGCTTTGGTTTATTCCATCTCCCACTTTCAGTAGAATCTAAAGAACTTTCCTACTGACTATTTCTCCCTGTATCTTTTTAACATCCTTGTGATCAGAGCAATGCAGTTATTATCCTCATTTTATAGACAACAAACTGAAGTTATTAAGAAATGGAGTCAATTGTTCAAGGTCAAGCAAACTCTCCTGGCTGCCCCATTCATTTATTTTCACTAAACTTTCCTGCCTGAAGGATACTTGATCTTTCTCACAAAAAGCTGGGAGGTACTTAATACTTTTTTTTCCCCCCAGTAAACCTTTTTTTAATTAAAATATTTGATTAGAATACAATACAAAGAAAGGAAAGAAAGAAAAAACACATCTCCTCCCCCTCACCCAGTTTCTCTTTCTAGATAATCTTTTATAATCATATAAAGTTTAAAAAATGAGATTGTATTACATAAACTGTTTTGTCTCCAATAAATGCTGAATGATTAACTATAACTATTAACTAACTATATGAATTAACTATAAAAGAATTTTGCCCCTCTTTGTGGCATGTGTTCTCTGCTTTCTATCACTTATTTAGTATAGTTCTTGTTTTCCAAATGAGATTTCAATTCTTTGGGGGTGAAATCCATACACCTTATTCTGTAGCATTTAGCACTGCGTACTGAACAGAGTATGTGCTTGATAAACATTTGTGGAATGAATGAATGGTTACTTCCACTGGGGAAAATAGAACACAAACATGTCAGTGACAGTAGATTCTCTGCTCCCTGAACTCCCTGATGGCTGTGGCTTTTCTATTGCTGCTAACATAGCTGGTAACGAAAAGCCTGACTTAAAATTCTGGGTCTCACATTTCTAGCGTCTCCTTCAGCATCTTATGGAGCACCTAGGTCTACACAGGTGTTTGTGGGACGAAGAGAGCAAGAAAAGGAGGAATGGGAAAGTAGCTAACAGTAATGCTGCACAATTGTCGCAGGCTCTTTAAGACCTGGGGATGACTCTAAATACTTTATCTGGATCACGGCATTTTCTTTTACGAGGTTTATCCAGTCAGTATCTCCATTTATCAAAACCAAAGCAGAGGGAGTTAATACTCTGCCCAAGTTCACAGAGCTGACAACTGTCAGAAAACAGGATTCAAACTCAGTGTTCGTATTGCCTGTTGATCGAGCCACATGTGGTTTCCATTTAGCACAGGAGGAAACCACCAGAACATCAGTCATAGCCAACATTTTATAGTGGTAAAAGCACTAGAGAAAGATCCCAAAATCGTACATCCCAGTAATAATTTCTCCTGATTCATTTAACTTCATCGAATGTCTCTGGGCTCACTATTCTAGTCTGCTAAATGGGTATAATTATCCCGGAACCAATTTACTCAAAGTTGTTGTTAATTAATGTAAACATAATTTGAACGGAGTGAAGTATTAAGTGCTATGATTATGTAAGCTGAGTATTTTGATAGCCTTATAGACACGGTACAGTGTCTTTTATCTGTTATTCTCAACACAGCTTCACACAGCAAGGAAAATCGACTTTACTCAACTGAATAGAGGCCCTAAAATGAGCATTGTTAGACTCTCCATAGATTCTTTACAAATGTAGTTTGATAAAAGACACACATTTTAAATATTATTATAGACTTTCTATGAAATTTTTATGATGGGGCACGGATGGAGTCTCAGTTTAGTATCTGATACATCTGGCATTACCCGAATACCTGACAGCACAATGGTGGGGGAGGGGCGTGGCGGGGGTGGGGTGGGGTGGGGTGGGGCTGGGGAGGGTCTGGGGAGGGGAAGGTAAATGTATAATCAGAGGAAAGAGCTCCACCTACTGATCAACAATACCGCTTCCTCCCACACCCTTGGAAATCCTCTTAATCCGCAACTTTAGAAACGCAATTACCGTTACTATCACCGCACGCACCTGCAAACACACAAACTCTGCCGTTTATTGAGTATTTGCTATTTGACAAAGAATTGAAAGCTGTTTCCATTAATTCTAAAGGCAGCCTTGGTAGGAGTAGTGAACAGCAGACCCTGAACCCAGGCCCTCTGGGCTCAGAGTCTGCGTCTGCCATTTTCTAGGTGTGTGGCCTTGGGCAATTTACTTAATCTCCCTGGGCATCCATTTCCCATCTGTACAACAGGGTTTTTTAAGATTTTCTATCTCCTTGGGTTGTAATGGAGATTAAATGTTTGTAAACAGCTTACGAAAATGTTTGACATATAATAGGTATTTGTGAGATGCATTTGAAAAAGGAAAGGATGGTTGATGAAATTTACAGAAGTGTGTCACAGAACTCTTGAGAGGGGAACACAGACTTTCTGACCCTCAGTGTCTGTGCTCTTAAACATGAGCGACATATCTCTTAACATGTCCTCTAGGATGGAAATACAACCAAAAGGAATGAAGGAAAACATGCATCTGGGATCTTAATTACTGATGAAGATTTTCTATTTTGTTTTTTAACCTTTTCCATATTATCTCTTCCATTCTTCTCTTGGATTCCTAATCATTGCCCAATACCTTACCTTCATCCAATTGTTTCTACAAGAATTTTCATGAAAAAGAGCCATAATTCCCCCAGATTGTGATGGTCACAGAGCATGTCTCTAATTTTCCTTGTAATTTTGAGGGCTCTCCTAAACATCTCCTTGTCATTGCTTACGAATTTCTTATTTCAAGGTTCTGTCTCAACCTGATTGTTAAAATCACTATTCAACTTTTAATAGAAAGGCCTGCATTTGTAATGATAATCTGTTCACTCTATTGAAGCTGCTTGTGGGAATGTTCACGAAGATCATAAAGGAAAGACTTGGTGTTTTTTGTAAACTTGAATAAACACCAATTGCTCAGGCAGGGGCTTCAGACTCGCTGGAGGAATTTGAAATTTAGGTTGAATGGTAGGCCTTTGATGATTCCTAACTGAGAGAGGTAAACAGGCTAAAGGCGGAGGGAACTATTAGACAAAAGTTCTGAGCATCAGCAACCCCAAAACGAGAATGAATAAGAGACAGATCCGTAAGAAGACTGATAGTATATAGTTTCTTTTCCTTCCTAAATCAATATATTAGAAGTGATAGGCACAACTTAATATGTGAGATGGGATGAAACATTTATTTGAGAAAATTTTCCCTAAATATTTATTAGGAGAAGCTACTGGAGATTTATTACACCATTTTAAAGCAAGGTTGGATCTCTCCATATTTTACATGGGATCTACAAAATTTGGTAAGCTCCCAGGGAGAAACAAAGATAATTAAAATGTTAGGAAATAGAGTAGGTGAAGAAAAAAATGAAGGACCGTGAAGAATTTAATCTGGGAAAAAAGCAATTAGGGATAACTTCAGTGTTTTCAAGTCTATGGAATCCTATTTGTTGAAAAACCAAGTTATTTGTTTTCTATTTCAGTAGAGATCAGAAACAGAAATGGACTTGTCACAAGAAAACTTATGTTTACACACCATAAAGAACTTCTTGATTAAACTCTAGAACTTACGAGGGAGGAAAATTGTCGGTCTTTGCTTCAGGAAATCTTTAAGGATTGAAAAGGTGAGCCCTAGGTAATCTTGTGTGGTGTTAGGTTGAAGCAGAAGGCTTAACTGGAATTTCTTTTGGTCTCATCTAGTACTTCAATGCCATGATTGCGTTCGTAAGAATGTGTCCACAAAGCAGGAAGAGAAGTAGACAGAACAATCAGGCCTGACCCGTTTAGCAATATAGTTATTATTCCTGAGCAAAAATTTTGGAAATCTCTTGTTTTGAAGCAGAGTTACAATGTCTGATACCTTGTAAGTTATAATAGCCAAAACCTTATGACCACTTTGGAAGGTTCTGGTCAGCATTCACTTTTCTTAGCCTCATGGACTGGGTTACCTTGAGTAGCAAAGGATATATTCAACACTTTTCGTTTGTGTGTAAATTTGTAACTATCGTGTGCGTGTGTGTGTGTGGTGTGTATCTGAACACAGTTCCTGTTATCATATATACAATAGTGTGGACAAATGTGTCTGAGACAGGCACGGTTTAGTCACTTTTTGGTAGTTGTCAGATGACAGACCTTATATTGAAATTAAAGGCTCATGTCTATATCTGGAGGTGATGGTGAGGTGTCCCCCAAGAGCTTGGAAATAAGGTTGCTGTTATTTTATTATTTTTTTTTAAGGTTAACCTTAAAAAAATAAAAAATAAATAAATCAATTAAAGTTAGAAAACTCTTACACAGTGAATACAATGAGCCATCTAAATATGGTGGAAGAAGAGTTTGGGAACAATTGACACTTGAATCGAGGTGAATTGAGGAAGGAATATCAGAAAGGAAAGCTAGAATGTGGTTCTAACTTTGTAATTCAGTATGCAGAAATTTAGGCGTTTGCTTCCTATCCTGTCTCAGAGAAAGCCTCAACACGTATGATGAGGCTCGCCCAATACAGAAGCTGAGAAACGGCCAAGTCACAGAGGCCAAAACCATCAGGGGAGATTTGGAAAGACCCTCCTTGATTGGCTGAATGTTGAATATTCCTTGAGGTTCTCTTAGTCCTCCTGTTCTGATTCCATCCAGGCTCACCAAGCAACCTTCAGATGATTTGGTTTTCCACACAGCTGGGCTGTGGGAGATAGTGTATCGATCTGCCAACTCAATCAATCTAACCTTTTTGACAGTTAAATTTTTCATCGTAAATGACTTATAGATCCATCCCTGTGAGCTGAATTAATGTAAATCTACTCAGGAGCGATGGCTCACCGTCGGCATGCCAATATGAATGATCTGAATCTAGACGTTTCATATCCTGGTGTGTTCCTAAGGCAAATGCCAACATTCAGGAGTTTTAACAGCCTGTCTCTCCTGCCCTCCCTCTCATTACTTGCCTTCCTCAAGCTAAAACAAAAATACGATTTAAAACTATTTTCACGCAAGTGACTCTTTTCCAGTTCATACATGTGAGAGCCCACTCACTCGTCCTAGAGGGTGGAAGTGAGAAGACCAAGTAGACACTTGGGAGAAGGAGGCGCTGGGCGACTCTCAGGCTGTCCAGAAAGAAGGATAATTCTCATGCCACAACCGGGTGTTAGATGACTCATGAGGTCAGCAGCCACCCTTATCAGAGACTTTGTGCCTCGATCATTTTGAAATGTAACAGCTCTGTTCCTTGCATGCTTTCCAGGGCCACGCTAGAAGGGTTTTGTCGAGATGACTGGAAACTATAGAGTGCCGTACTTCAGAAAACACACGTGCATTGGTTTCAGATGGTGATGGGTTTCCCAACTCCTGCACGAGCACTGTCGTGGATCTCACTACCACGCTTCCTCTGCTTGTGACCTCATCAGATTTCATAAGCTAAAGAGACCTTGGCTGAGGCGGTTTGTGAAAGGCAGTGGTCCAAGAAAAACCAGGTGCTCCAGGAAGTGGAATGGGTGATTCAGTCAGGTTCATTCTTTCCTATGATTCAGGTTGACCCACTAACTCATCACTGTGAGTGGGCACTCTGCTCTCAGGGGTGCTTATGAATAAGATGTATAGTAAAGGTCTTAATCACTTTTGCTGACTGAAGAGCTTTCACAGAGATGGCTGCACGCAATGCCTTCAGAATTTCAAAATGGAGGATTCAATGCTATTGTGGTAATAACTGTCATTGCTAATACCATTTTAGGTATGCTATAGTCTCTACTTCCTATCTTTACTCAATATTGAAATGTAGAATATGCTGGGAAGTACTCAAGGCATATTGCTCAGAGGTAGTTTTGCCCTTGGCAGTGAGTATATTTATTCCTTTCTCTTTTTTTTTTTTTTAATTTGTCAGATCTTTGGACTTTAAAGCAACACTTTTAAGTAAGGTTACTTGTTCGTTTCATTTACTTGTTTATGCTGTTAGGATTTAAAAAGGACTCTGAAGTAGAAGCAAATACATTAATAAATAACTGAGGCAAGAAAAAAATACAGCTGAGAAGGTATGGTAGGAGAGGAGTGAGCAAACATACATTAAACTACCTATAGCACATATCATAGCTAACCTGTAAAATACAATATAACCTGTAATGGACAAATATAGCTTACCTGTAGATACAACCTGTAAATTACAACAAAACTATTCTTGCCTAATTCAGAATAATGATTGAGCTCTTGCTCTTTGCCATGAGATAGATCCGAGTTTGCCTCTGAACTCTGCCATATACTAGCTCTGCCATTTTGAGCACATTACTTGATGTCTGGACTATGAAATGCAGATGAGAATAAGATCTGTTTCAAAGAGCTATGAATGAGCATTAAAAAAGATAGTCGATGTGACATATTTAACATGCTGTTTGGTGCATAGTAAAGCTTATCAAATGGTAGCTATTTTTATGATGATGATGATGAATATATTAATTCCCATAAATGTATGATTGAATGGAGACATTCCCAGTTGACTTTCTGCTTCTTTAATGGCTTTACTGAGATCCAGTTGTTTTTTCAAAACACATATGCTTTTGAAGATTTTTTGGAAGAAACATACTTCCAGCAAGCCATGATGCATATGACATCATTCAAATCCATTTTATCCCCCAGGCACTGAACAGGATCGCTAACGACACCCCTGGTCAGCCTCCAGGGCTATAACCATGTTCCTGCTATCCTTAGGTCATGCCTTGTCCTTGTCATTTTTAACTTTTCAACTTTTTTTTAAACTTTTTTACTTTTAACTTTTTTTAAACTTTTTTACTTTTAACTTTTTTTAAACTTTTTAACTTTTAACTTTTCATGATGTCTGTGATACCGAAAGACTTTGCTGGCCACTGAAGGGATCTCTTAACAATATATTCATTCATTGTATAAGCATTCTAAGTTTGTAGGAACTATAGTTTTTTGCTTCATCTTCATTCTGAAGTGATTAGAAGATATCCTTGTCTTGGCTGCCCCTCAGTGCCCATGGCCTAGCGAAAATGGAATCTTCCCAGGGCTTTGGCAAATATGTTGTACAACCTGCAGAGATCCTTACCTAATTCTTCCATCTATTCTTCCTTCTTGAGGAGCTGTCCCTGATTCTCTGCCATAGGCACAACCACCTACTTATTTAGAGTGAAACTTTGATCCTGAAATACAAGCATTATTGTAATGAAGCTGAAGCCGCCTTGGGCAGGATCACAGCTCACTATGAATTTGGGGAAATAAAAATTTGCCAAGGAAGGTACAAGTAAGGGGGCCGGAGCTGGTTGTGGAAAGGGAGGGGACCTCACTATCCTCTTTAAAAATATTTTATGACATTAGGAAAAAAAGATTTAATTCTAAATACCCTTTGTTCCTGCAAGGTATCTACTATAAGGAAAATTAATCACCCACCAAAAGTATATTCTCAGGCACCCCATGTTTTTCTTCCATCATGTCTTCTTAAAATGTAGTCATAAAGTTTACATATAATTGAGGTAAATTCAGAACTGACAGAACTTCCCATCTGAAAATAGATCAGCTGTATTTGGAGTGATGAGCTACGTGTTCACATTCTAGAAATGAGCTCATCAAGCCCTCCTTTACATTTCCCTAACATCTTCTACCAACCTTTGCCTTTCAGCAGATATTCAATTAAGTAGAATATTTGCATTGCTAAAATAATATTTCTGCATTGGATGTATTTGTCCTAGTAAATTCTTACCTGAGCAAATCAGATCTTAACATTTCAAACTTTTCTGTGGTCTCTGAACTTGTTCTCTTCTCAAATGACTAAAGATGGCTCCTTTCAGTGGACGCCGGAGCCAGGGTGGGTTCAAGACCCAGTTTAAGCACTGACTAGTTGTGAACACGAAAGCAGCCCATCTCCTTTCCCTAGTCTGAAATTTCCTCATCTGTAAGCTGAGCATTAATAATAAGGTTGTGCAGACTCTGTGCCCATACAGCCCGTGTTACCTACTGCTGTATGACAGTCCTTATTTCAGTGTTAAATGTTAACTTCTAAAGAGATCAACTTAAAGGATAGGAGTATATAATTTATAAAAGGAGAAATTCATAAGCCACATAAACTGATGAGGAAATATCCAAATTCAGTAAATAAACTTATAATATATAAATTATTAAAATATATATATTTATATATAATAAATTTATCTTATCCAGATCAATGCAAATTCAACATTGATCATTTTTACTACAGAATTGGAAATTCAGGCTTGAAAAGGATAATTTTCTATTCAGGCAAAAGTATAGTTAAACAGGCAGGTACTCTCATACCTAAGTGTGAGACTGTAAATTGTTATAACCTTTTGGGAATGCAACTTAATATGTATCAAGGGTTTTACAAGTTTTCACACTTTTTGACCCTCTAATTGGACACGTCCCTGAAGGAATAATAGTCAGTGAGGCTGTCAGAGATTTTTATGAAAGCATTAAATATAGTCATGATAAATGTGAAACTAATGTGTGAAAGAGATGAATGATAAAATCTGCCAATGGAATGTTACGAAGTTTATATTGAATTCTCAAAGAACACTTAAGGTTAGGAAAAATATTACAATATTACAAACCTGAACAGAGTATACAATCTCACTTGGTTATTACAGATATATT